CTTTATTGACTGGTGGCAGAGGATCCATAACTAAAATCTGGCTTCGTGTGTGTTCATATTCATCATTCAATCCCATTAGGAATTGCATAAGTCTATCGAACGAGGTTATTTCTGATACTGATTTGGCTGAATCACAAGTGCACTCAGGTATAGGCATTAGGAAGGTTAATTCATCCCACAGTCTCTTCAATTTCGTGTAATACTCTGAAATAGACATATTACTTTGTGAGATAGAACTAATTTCTCACTGGATCTGATATAGCATAGGACCATTACAAGTTCCAAATCTCTCTTCAATCTCCATCCATAACTCTCTAGCAGTGCTGGTGTATAGAAAGGCTTCGACAATCTCTTTGGAAATAGAATTCAGTAGCCACGAAGTAATCATGCAGTTGACTCTCTGCCACTTTTCATAATTTGGTGAAGCTTTCTCAGGTGTTTCAACACTCCCATCAATAGGCCCTAACTTCATCTTCGCTCGAAGGGCAATTCTTACTGAACGGCTCCATGCCAAAAAATTCTTGCCGTTAAAGGCGCTGTAACCAATGTCATTCCTAGATGATCCGAGCTATGAAGAAACAACGGATCTTAAGTATTCATTTCACTTTGTCCCATCTCCTTGAATCGTGTGGTTATTCCTTAGTTCTGCAGGAAGCAGATCTACATTTTGATTCCCAGCCATGGCAGCTCAGTTCTGAGCTTATCTTCCTCCTCCCGTAATGGATACGCAGCTTCCGGTTCTGGAATTCCAGAATCTATGGCTCTGATACCATGTTCAAGTAAATGGAATCCACAATTTTATTCATTACTCACCAAAACAACGTACAGCAATGGAGGTATATTTATAGATCAAGGAAAAAAGGGAAAAATTAAAACAAACTCAAAACGAACTAAACAAACTCTAAACAAACTATTCTTTATTACAGAGAAGGACCTAAGCTATGTAAGAAGAGCAATTAGGTCCCTTAGGAATAATCTGTATGATGCTTGTAGAACTGACCACAAAGGTCGCACCGTATGAACCACTGCCCAATTACCAACTGCATGTGATGCTTGTAGCCTCCAACACGGAGAAGATGCAGTATCAGAAAATAATGTGAATTTTGATTGATAATTTTTTCTTGAACAATGGTCCGTACATTTCAATTGCGACACAACAAATATCATCAATTTTTTTACACAAAACAATGCTTTGAGTGGTTATTCAGACTTTGAAGGAAGAAGCCAAGAAGGTGAGGGTGAAACAGAAATAGTTAACTTAAAAGTACTTTTAATGTTCTTAAGAAAACATATAAGTCCGATGTGTCAATTTAAATGGTGAGACCTACCACGTGTGCATATAAGTCAGTCATATTGAAGTTTTTTTTTGCATGATAGAAGGAAACCAATGTTCATATTTTTTTTCCTTGTCAGTCAAGCACGTCCATCACGAAAGCAGTTAGATTTTGGGCCGTTAGACAATGGGGTGGGTGGAGTCAACCCAAGGAAGGAAAATTGAAACTGAATACAAAAGCAGCAGTCTAGAGTGAATGAGGATTTGTGGAGATTGGAGTGGTTATTTGAGATTGTCTTGGCATGGTAAGTGGCAGCTAGCTCCAAGTGGGAGAGGAGCTTCTCTATTTTGAAGGTAACCAAGTAGTTAGCTCGGCTTGAGTTTCGCAAAGGCCAATGGCCTAGCAATTAATGTGGTTGAATATAATGCTCAAAGAGTTGTCCAGGATGTCGAATCCATCTCTTCACTAGGTGTCAGTGCTCTAATACTATATGATATTGTAGCCCCATTACATGAAGTAGGCGCTGACTCTTGTCACTTTGTTCCTTGTTCTGGGAACATGCTAGCCAAAGTAGAGGTGTCAATCCGGGTGGTCCGGGCCGGGTCGGCCCGCCAACATGTGAGCCCGGTACCAGCCCGCGTGAAAAAAAGCCCGCCCGCTGTGGGTTCCGGGCCGGTTACTGGTCGGCCCCCAATTTTGGACTACAACCCAGGCCCGCCCGCTGACCCAT